AGATTGTTCTTTCTGCATATCCTTCTCTTTGCATATGGCAGAGGTGATTTCAGATCTCCTACCTAGCCCAGCTAATGGGAGTCACGTACTTCCCACAGTTCTCACAGTCATTCATCCTTAAGCCACTCTCTTCTTCATGAATGAATAAAACCTGGGTTCAGCCTCAGGTCCAGGCCTTTGTTACAGATGGCCATGATTATGGCTGGATTTAGGACCTCTTGGCTCCCCATAACTACAAATATGCCTTAGCATCTTTGTTCTCCCCATGGGTTTCACGGGAAGTGGTAGATTGGAATTAACTCGCTAAAATTCCAATAACTTTTCTTGGGATTACAAATACAAACATCCTGGGCTGTGACAAGTACTGGGAAGGGCTCTTTATCGTTCTTCAAAAAGGCCAGGAAAGCAAAATAGATGCTGTAAGTGTAAGCAATACATTTGTATAGAACGTTCTGTTGTCATGAGTGAAGACTGCTTTAGGTGTGATATTTGAAGTAAAGATTTTTTTTTTTGTAATATGCTATTGGTGTTCTCATCATAGTTTATATAGGAATTTATTTCTGTAGTTTTGTTTTAAACTTTGTATAGCAAAAAACAGTTAATGTTGAAAATTTTGATGCTTTTTTATAAAAAATAAATATTAAAAATGCAATACCTTATTTTTGTGATTTTTTTGCTTTTAAGCACTCATTGTTTAATATAATAAAAGTCATACAATTAAAACGAATATTTCAGGCGCTGGGGATTTAGCTCAGCAGCACAGCACCTGCCTGGCAAGCGTAGGTCATGAGTTCAATTCCCATTACTGGGAAAAAACAAACAAACAAAAAAATAAAATAAAATGAATATTTCATCCATAGAAATATTCAAAAGAATATATGTGGTTTTACACACCCATGTTCATGATCCTTTATAACAAAAATGTGTTATGCTCTCTGTAAGGTTGTTTTTTTACCAACACACAGATATTTGTGAATCGCTTTTGAATGCACTCTCTCTCTGTCATCTAAATGGTGGACTTAGAAAATTATAATTTAAAGTCATTACTGCATTGTTGAATTAACTTCTCCCATATTAGTTATATTTTTTCTCTTCATTTCCTTTTTTTTTACTGACAGATAATAACTGTACAACTTTGTGTTTAAACTGTGATCCTTTGAACAACTATACATCACACATTATTTAATTTAAGATACTTAAATTCTGTATCACACTGACCCTTCATCAGCATCTTTATGAGACAACATGCTAGTGATATGCTCAAAATTATATTCTAGCCATCTTTAGCAAATCAATAATAAATCACTAATCTAAGTGAAAGGCAGGCGTTTCCTCATTTAATCCTCAGGGGGAAAATAATGAGAATGTATTAGTACTATTTTATAGACAAAACACTAACACTCAGAGAAGCTAAACTTGTTCCCAAAATTATGATCCCAGGAGAGCCAGGCTTCCAGGTTTTGTTTTGTAAATTCTGTACTATGTTTTATTATGCTAAAGCATTTCCACATAACAGAAAACTGATGAATAGAAGAACACTAAATAGGAAGGGAATTTTTTAAGATTGTTAAAGCATCTTTTCCTGAGTATGGATCTGAGACCAAGAACCTGAAAAGGCTCTGTTCTTAAATTGATCTTTCTTGTCTTTCATATTAAGTTTATTGTATTCATCACTTTGATATATTAACATGAAATTATCTTAAAATACAAATTTAAAACTAAAAATAACATTTACATAACAATCTCCAAAAGACATATCTGGAAAATAAAATCACACTTATGACAGTATTTGCAGTCACTAAAGGAAAACTGAATAAAAAGGTATACATCAAACAACATGGATAAAAGAATGGGAGTAAATATTAAAGTTCCAAATATAGTCTTAAAATTGATAAAGTACTGAAGTTCTGAAATATCAATTTTCAGGGAAAACAGAGAGTCTTAGGAGGATAGATGGATCATACATAAGGGCTGAGCAAGGTATCAAATAGGAACCACAGAAGGAAGTTATCCTCAGGAGCCACCTACAGCTCTACACATTTTATTCACACTCACTGGAAGAGGCCACGTCCCTAATGCACTGGAATGCGGGCCTAAAAGAGAAAGGGGATGGAACTGAGGAAGGAAGTAAAGGGGAGCAAAGGAGAAAAGTAGGAGAGAGTGCTGAGCAGTGAGCCCAAGCGCTGAGAATGCCTGAAGCCTCCAGTGACCTCGGGAGCAGTGCCCTGCACCCTGCCCACAAAACCCGGGCTTCCTTTCTAGGGAAGGGCACTCAGCCACCCCCATTAGGTGGGGGACAACTGGAGGCTGGAGCTGATGCTGAAAGGAGAAGTCTTGCTCTTCCATTCATGGTCCCCATTGTCAGGGTAGCTGTGACCCTGGGTTGATCCCCAAAGTTGGTCACCCCAAGTCCCTCCTTTCTCCGACATTTGCCCTATACTTTCCCTCCCCTCCCTCCCCTGTCCTCCTAGCCCTGCTCTCCTTTCCGTCTTTTCCCCTTCTCCCTACCTTCCCTCTCTCCCTCCCCCCCATACTCCATGCCTTCCTTCCTCCCTTTCTTCTTCCCGTCCTCCTTCCCTTTCTCCCTCTCTCCCTTCCTCCCTCCTTTGTTCCTTGTCTTCCATCTTCCCACCCTCATTCCCTGTCTTCCCTTCCTTCCTTCACTTCCTGCCTTCCCTCCCTCCCTCATTCCTTCTCTTCCTTCCTCCCTCTCTCCTTCCCTCCCTTCCTTCTTTCACTTCCTTCCTTCCTTTGTCCTTCCCTCCCTTCCTCCTTCCCTTCTTCCCTGTCTTCCTTCTTCCCTCCCTCAATCCCTATCTTCCTTCTTCCCTTCCTTATTTCCTTCCTTTCCTTCCTTCTTCCCTTCCTTTCTTCCTCCCTCCCTCTTTCCCTCTTTTCCTTCCTTGCCTATCTTCCTTCCTTCTTTCCTCCCTTCCTCACTTCCATGCTTCCTCCCTCCCTCCTTCCTCCCTTCCT